TATCTTACTTACTTCCAAGTGGTAGTACCTTATTTCGTTTTTCTTTTCTTATATATTTATCTTTTTCTTTCTTCTTCTTTTTTTTTACTTTGGAGAACAACCACCTTCCCACAACTGTCTGCAGACAATGAAGGGTGATATAGATGTGGGCTTGAGCACCCACATCTCGCTCTCCTAAATTTTATTTATTTTGATAATTTCTTCATGTGAGATTGGCGAACAGAGGTTAAGACTGATAGACGGAGTATCCCCACCGCAATGTGGGTCCTACTTCCGCAGTCTCCTCCAAAACCCAAGGCACATTTTATATCCTACATTATAGCCTGTACCTTGGGGGGTCCTTTTAATTTACGCAGTGTCTTTAATTTTATTTTCTGTTTGGGCCTCGTTTTCTTCATTTAAATGTCGTTCATCACAGGTTTGGATTTGCTGTTTTTACCGCAGTCGTTTCTTTTGATTTTATTTTGCTTGACTGTTTAAGTATTAATTTTCTAGATATATATATATATATATATATACTGTATTTGGTGAGTCCAATGAAACTTAGTCTCACATCTATTCTGCCGCTTGTTTACCAAGTTCTAGGTTCAGAAGGAAATGAATGCCACCAACATCGAAGCTCGTGGCGCGCGCTTTTTTTCAGTCATTTCCTGAAGATTTGGAGTTGGAAATGACCAACGAATGAAGGTGCGTTCATCATTGTCAAACCAAGACGTTCCAGAGAACTACACTAGAATCAGTTCTTAGATTTCAACGCGTTTGTACATTATTTGCAAGCAGTAGTCTTTTATAAACAGTGTCTTAAGATTCTACTGTTGTACTTACTTCTGTGATCTTTATTTTGTATGAGTGAAACACAATTCCTTATCCGCTATTTTTAATACAGAATGTGAATAATAAAAAATGTTAAAAACGCATAAATTTAAGCATAAATGTTTCTCAATTTATGTGAATTATATAAAATAATTTGTAAAAGGCGTTCAACATATTGACGAATTCGGCAATTCTAAGTCCAAACGAAATTAACACAGCAATCATTTTCTCGATATAGCAAAACCTAGTGACACTTATGTATGAGTGTCAGTGTAGAGGTGCTTGAAAACCTGGAAAAATTGGCATTTTATTATGGGGTCGTGGAAAATCTTGGGTTTTGTTTTTTAATTGAATACATTTTTAATTTTCTTGTTCTATTTTCCATTTTAAGCCCCCGACCCATACAAGTTTATCGTATATGACCTAATTCGATTTGGCGCACTGCTCGTGCTTTTAGATTGGCTCACCACCCTGCCAGTCTAGAATGTGACCTACTGAAAACGTAGTTATAGATACATTCAAAGCTCTAATATTGTCGTAAATAGACACATATATGAATATGTAAAACAATATTAAATTGTCTGGAATAAAAAATGAAAAAGAAAAACATTCGCAGTTGATGTGGTTTTTATCACAAATTGTAGGCTTATTGGAATAACACGTCTGGAAAAGTGTATACAGTCTTTTGTAATGAGTGACCAATAAATGAATACATCTTTTATTGTTTTTAAACGTTTAACAGTGCACGAGATTAACGTATACAACTTTACAGGTGTTGAAAAAGTATTTTTACATCACAGCGGAAATGATGAAGGTTTCAGAATAATTTAAGTACATAGAACATTGAGAAATAAATGCAATGAAATACCCCCCAGTGGCACAGTTGTATGTCTGCGGACTTCATCCGCTAGAATCCGGGTTTCGATACCCGTGGTGGGCAGAGCACAGATAGCCCATTGTGTAGCTTTGGGCTTAATTACCATTACTTTGCAATGAAATAAATACACTGTAAAAACACAAAACTGACTTATTTATTCAAAATGCTAGAATTTTTGTGTATTTTAAGGTGTATTATAACATTAAACCTGGCGAAGAGCAGTCGCTCGAAACACCGCTAGACAAAATAAATTTATTTCTATTTCAACGCTGTGTTTTTAAAGTGATTTATTAGCTTTATAAAGATTCCATATACCACTGCGCATGTGCCCGGTATTCTGGTGTTAGGTAATAGGTACCGTAGGTGACCTATTACTTCTAAAAATCTGCGTTTGGAACTGTAACATTTTTTTTTTTTTACATATTGTATCAAAATAATTATTTTCCGATGTAATGGTTTTATATGTCGGAAACTGATGTGGACAAAATAATAAAAATATGAAAAAAAACTTTTACAGTTTCGTGATGTTTAACACAAATGATAGGCCTATTGGTTTCTCACGATTGTGGATCGCACACGATATTATTTTTTGATCCTAGAAATTATAATGTTGTGTTTATGAAAAGTGCTTGAAATACGTTGGTTTTAACCGAAAATTCCAAATATGGACTTTGAATGTAAGTTATAAATAATCTTAGAATGATGTAATGATTGAACACGTATGTAACGTGTTAACCCTAAAATTACCGTAACAAATGAAATGTTAGAAACAACAGCAGCATTATTGTGCGTTTAACGTTATTAAGCAGCATTAGTCAAAAATACGAATTTAACTATGACATTAAAGGGAATGAATAACATCTTAATGTAGGTCACATGAACATAATGATAAAATTCAACACCGTTATTAGATATATGTTAAAACTAAAATTATACTGATAGCAGTGACAACGACTTTGTTAATAATATTTTTTATGCGTTAATTATTCCAAAAATTAACTTCGTTATTTTTTTCCTAAACATCTTATTATGGACAGGTGTTTAATGCTTGGTAAGCATTTAAAATACAAAGTTTCTAATGTTTTCGCTGGAAATAAAGAGAACCTTTTCCTTAAATGCACAATAAAAATTAAACACGACCTCACTGGGCAAGATGGGAAAGTTTGTTTGTTTTGTTATTAAGTACAAAGCTATATAAGGGCTGTGTGTGCTGTGCCCACCGCATGTATCGAAATAATACTTTTAATGTTATAATCCCTCAGAGTTAACGCTGAGCCACCGGGGAACAAGCTGTAAAATAGGGTCATGAAAATCAGACAATGGGCAGTGATAACGCGATAGCATCTGTATGCTGATCACTGGCCAGGTGGTTAGAGTTCGACTCGCAATCTGTGGGTCGCGGGTTCGAATCCCCGTCACACCAAACATGCTCGCCCTTTCAGCCGTGGGGGCGTTATAACGTGACGGTCAATCCCACTATTTATTGGTAAAATAGTAGCCTAAGAGTTGGCAGTGGGTGGTGATGACTAGCTGCCTTCCCTCTAGTCTTACACTGATAAATTAGGGACGGCTAGCGCAGATAGCCCTCTTGTAGCTTTGCGCGAAATTCAAAACAAACTTGTGTAAAACACCCATATATTGTTTGGACTTTAGAGCGCCACTAGTCATCAGCGTTTACTAGGTTAGAAAAGGATACGAGTGGAAAACTGAAAAATATGCATGTAATTTCTATTCTGATAAAAATAAAATCTTCTATTACAAGCTGTAAGTAATGTCTGTGGAAGATGAACCGTCTTGTATCTGTCATTTTTGATCAGTAAGTGTGAACTGTAGAATGTGAACATGTCATGGAAATGGCTTATGTAAAACTCCACAAATAGGATATTATTATATTATATCACTGCTTTAATTTCATCCTAAATATTCACCTATCATTAAATCAAAACGAATCAAAGCTTATCCAAAATATCGACGAGTCAAAATGCCTGTAAAAGTTCAACAAATATTTTATATATTCTAACGCACTGCAGAACAAAACAAAAACTAAGGTATATGATGTCTAATGCGTCAGTTATAGAGCCACTGAAAAAATTCTGAATAAACCAACGAAATTTGACCTTCTTTAGAAATAGCTCCTAAAATTTTTGAAATGTAATCAATCAAAATTAAACATCGTCATTATATATATCTTTACCAGTTGCTGCTGTAGGGATTGGTTTTTGCATTTAGTGATCTTGATTTATTTGCGTACATGAGAAATATATATACAAAAACAACAGGAGTTTAGTAGTAAGAGTGATGTTCTGTGTACCAAATTCAAATCTCAAGGTCACCAAGTTATAAGTTGTGCTTATGTTATCCTTTATTAATATCTTAAACTTTGTATCAGTTTTTAATGTAAAATATAGGCCAAAGAATCACGCTGTTTAGTGCAAATCGTCTAAATCGAGCGACTGACTCTCTGAATGCTCAAGATATATTAATTCCGAGTCCAAACTTTTCTCATTTCTAATGGTTTAATGTCTATCATTTTTGTTTAAGTTTGCTAATCAAAGTCTACTTTTTTTGCTTTTACAAGTGAAATATCCTGCAGGGGAAATATTCATCCGACTTATTTCTGTTGTTAGTGAATATTGAATAGGTTATAGGAGAGTAATCCAGCTTAATAAGATTAGGGAATAATAAGCATGTTATTAACTTAAATATGCTTAGTTTATTATTCAGGTTATCCACCTAGCAGGGATGATAAGAGCATGGCTGAAAATGCAATCTTAAGCCATAGTTTTGATGTAAACTTTGATGTAACTTTATAAACTCGTGGTTGCATACCCTGAGACACATTTACAATGTTTAGCTAACTGGAAGTTTCAAATATTCCTTCGTAATGATTACTTTATATGTGATTTTATGACTAAAAAATCACACCATTAAAAACTTTATATGCCCGATTCAGTGCTTCTTCAGGATAGACAGCTAAGACATATTTTTAATTGCAAAGTTCACCAACACTAGATGATTGGTTAAACGTACTTGTATACAAAGTTAAAGAATGTAATACCTGTGTGTAATTCTATTTTATCTTGTGACATCCTTTTAAAACAAGTTTTGATAACAAATGTATAAGCGATTGTGGCGTTATATTTCGTGTTTTATATATGTATATATACATGAAATGAATAATGTTTTGTGTTCTAGTTGAGTCAGTAGGAAATGTTTTATTGATATGATGACTAAATGTCGTCCATAAGTCAATATGACTTAAACTTCACTAACAGTTCTAAAATACTTCGTTTTTCTCTTTTTTTTCCAGAGTTGGAATAAACAATATTGATTTTTTTCCCCTTTGCAATCCTACTTTAAGCCTTCATATTAACAGAGATTCTAGTCTAGAAGCAGCCCGGAGTACAGAAGCAACATCTAGGCGCAATGTGGTGGCGAAAGTGATTTTGTGCTTTGCATTGAGTGGCCCTTGATCCCCACCGAGACTGCACTTAGAGGCAAGTTGAACACTGAATCGATAAAAGCATTTTCTAGCAGCTGATGGCAGTCATACAGAGACAGACCACGGGGGAACGTGCCTGAACACAATCTGTAATAACACAATCACTCCTGCATAGAAGTCACACAGTCACTGCCTTGCTAGTGTGTAAGGAAATTCGTGACATGTCTGCAAGCTTTAGATACTGCTCTTTGAGAGTTTCTAAATACAGAGCTCAGGGAAATTGTTCCCAAGTGGAAGCTTGAATAGGATTGAGACTATTCGTCATTACCATCGCGCTTCTGTCATAATCAACTAAAGATCTGGAGTCTGGAGAAGGAGATTTCTCTCAAGTATGAAAACGTGAAAAGTTTTAAAAAATGAATTAAAAAAACAAAAACACAACCCGCAGCAAATAGTAAATAAGAACATAACTGGTAATAAATTTCTAAAGTAAAATATATTTCGATACTTTTTTCCGTAGTATTAAATGTATATTTAGAAAAGTCGAAATGTTCCCAGACGCACTTTATCAATTATTGATAGAATCACGTTTATTATACTTAGTTTTCATTTTAAAGCGCCCCCCCTCCCCTGCGGTGACTAAGCGGTAAATCTGCAGGCCTATAACGCTAAAAACAGGGTTTCGATACTCACCGTGAGCACAGCACAGATAGCCTATTGTGTAGTTTTGTGATTGATACAAAAAAAAACGTTTTAAAGAAATATTTTACATCAGATTTTTGTACATAATAAATTGATCAGTGTTCCTCGAATCTGTCTGTATGTGTACTTTAATGAAAATATTGTTTACCATTTATGACTAGAGTAAATACAAGTTGCATTTAATTTCGAGTCGTGATTTTATTGATTGGAAAATGTGAGACTTCAAGTTTTCATTTTTAGACTACACCGTGAATTAAGTGTAAAATATTTGAGTTTTTTGTGGGTTTTTTAACGATCAACTTAGACTCTGAGCTTTCCGTTAGCATTAGCTATAATTTTATGCAGCTATAAAACCTCTATATAACAAATATTTAGTTTTTTCTAATAACTAAGAATGTTAAATTAGAATTGTTGGTTAGCATTCTTGCAAACAAAATTAGGGATGCTACAGTTTATCTACCTCTACTAATCAGAATATTCCTTAAGTTTACAACAACAAAAAAGATTTACCCTAAGTTTTTCCATTCCTTTGCACAATCAATATAGAACTGCATGGCTGTGGTATGCACACCTGGTGATAAGATCAAATCAACAAGGCAGTTCCCGAACAATAGAGGGACTCTGTTGGAATGTGTTGTATCGGTTGAGTTTGACGAATAAAAAGGACACTCTTTGTGTGTTACAAAGAAAAAACATTTTATTCCCACTTCAGTAAAATGAGGAGCAAAAAGAAGCTACCCAATGTTCTAAATATCAACAGTTCATGGCAAATTGAATGTGAAGTAAGTGGTTTAATGGTAGTAAATGACGAAACATCTGAAGTTGAATGGCTACTTATGACAGAACCACAAGTACTGAATATTACACTCGTTCCTAATGTTATTAAAAGACATTGAAACCTTTCACACAACCTTAAAGATACGTTGCTCAAGTCAATCTTAATAAAACAAAGAGCTTACATTCTGAGCGATACAAAAAGTGCAGTTAACCAATTCCGAAACATTTTGGTATTTGCATCGTTTCGTATTTCAGTACATGGTGGAGCAACTCCCAGAAAAATGTGCTTACCACCGTGAAACTGAGTAGGCAACACACAATATAACTTACGTTTGGAGATCCCATGAGTGTTTTCTCCAGATGTTGAATTATGTTTTTCTTTATTCCCACAGTATACAGATAACTAAACTATTCACAACTGGAAATACATCAAAAGTACGTCTATACTACATAAGAAAGTATGGGTCCATAGTAAGCAGATATTGCAATTATCCGTTCTTCTGTTATAGGTCACTCTTGAAGCTGACTTAATTTTACCTCAAGTGCCAATGATAATCTTGAAATTGCAAGTCTATGATTCCTTCTGGGCCTAACCTTTAGGTGTATGATACACAGAGATATTTAAGAAATTATAGGCACATTACATCATTAAGCAGTTAGTTAGACAATTACTTACTTCTTCAGGCAGGCCCGTCGACAGCAATTCCGGACCCCAGGGCAGAACAGTCGATGGCCTCCTAGAAGGGGGACTACTGACTGTTATGCCACTTTCTTTATACTATCTATAACGTCAGAAAGGAAGTGCTTTTTGTTGCAAATCATAATTTCAAATAAAAACATTTATATCATCCGCTCATGCCCCTGGGCAGTTGCCTCCACTGTCAGCAGATGTGTCTTCAGATCTCTCTCTACACTTCAGTAGCGCGAAAATAACCTTCACTTAAAAAACTGACCACACCGAATGACAAGTGGTTATAAAACAGCTCTCCCATAATAATCATTTGCATGATAGGAAGACAGCGTAATGGTGATATTCAAAACATGGCATTTCATAAATTAAAGCATTGATCTACCAGTATAAGAAAACAATTACAGCAAGCTATTTCTTTTGCTGTTCAGCAAGAATTAAACTACATCTATGTCAGAAATACCCACCAAAAATTTCCTCCGAAAGCCAATTTATAGCAATGTGAACAATAAAACATTCAGATTTTGTATATATACACAACATGCTATATTTTCCTGTCCGTTTCTTTCTCCCTTTCTATTACCCCCCTCAATCTTCGCAAGATTGTCTACCGATTTCTAAAGATATAACATATACGTATATACAACATGTAACTGCATATTAAGTAATAACTAGTTAGCAACAAGCAAAATCACAAAACATATTTACTGCCTTCACTAATTATATATGCATCATAGCCATGATAGGTAGATGCAGTGTTAAGAAAAATCATAGTGTTATCAGCATAGCAGTAAATAGAGTGACGTTTGCTATATTCAAACCCTATGCCACTACTGCAAATGTTTCTCTGTGTGTCTCTCTTCTACATATTCTTTCTAAACTAACGAAAACATTTTCTCTCTTACGTGGACCATCACCTTCTTTTCCATTACACGATCCTCTGTCTATTGTTTGTACCAACTATCATTTACTGCTGTGAGGTTTTCTCTTTATCTGCTACCATTTGGTTGCTAGTTCAACCCTTTAATTCACATATGGACTTCGTGCAAATTGCAATATCCTTAGGTCAAATGCATAAGCGGGCCAAGCTCTTATGGGGCCCACATCTTTTAGCTCTCAGCTTGGACTTATGAATCAGTTGACTCTCTACGGGGTCTGCAACACAACCTAGTGATAACTGTATCCCAGCCATTGAGCTGATTGTCACTTTTGTATATTTTAAACGTAGCAGTGATTCCGTTTTTGAAGGAAAATATTCATAATTTTCCCAACTGGGGATAATGATATCCTCCTTCTTTCCGCTTATGTCGATCATGTTTAACGAAAGTGAACTTTGACTGTCATAACTACTCAAGAACATAATTCTAAGTGTTATCCCGTGAATTTCTTAAACTTAAAATAATTTTAAATTTTGATCAAATGTGTCGGAATCTAGAATATGGACAAATACTAAAGGTGAAAATGGCAAGTTGGCAAAAGGCAAAGGTAGCAAGGTTAAAAACAGGGTTGAAGACAAGTTTTGACAAGCAACCAACGGCTCCTTGACAGGGTAATGGAGAGACAAGGATCTATAAATCCAACGCCTTGGCTGGGATCAATATATCCAATGCTATAGAATTAGATGTGGGGGGGGGGCAACTTTCACAAGACAGGCGCCGATTATTCAACGTATCCAGTGTCCTAGCTGAAAGGCAACTAGAAACAGTTAATACAGAATTACATGTATATATGTGTGTGTGTAACAGCACGGTTAATGTTTTAGTATGCTGTCTATGTTAGTTTGCGTATAAGCTGTATGGCGATATTGTTTTCTCCACTGCTGTGTGCTAAAACACTGTTAGCATTTGAGGCATGTCCTTTGCATCATTCAAAATGTCCAGACACACACACACACATCCCGACGAATGCAATGTTTTTTGGGCAAGGTCTTCAGCATAATACTGTATTGTATAGGGATACGTAAATCATCATCATATTCTGAATCCAAGAGCTCAATTGCATCACCAAACTCTGTCTCAGAGCATAATCAATATGCTGAGCTGGCTTGGAAGGCTCTTAACTGTTCCAATGACCTGCAGAATCATAGAAAATGTTGGCTGTTCTGCCAGACAGTGTTGCAACTATTTCTGATGAGCCTTGTTCACAATGTGCATCCTTCTCTTTTTTACAAGTTACCCTGCTGTACCTTGAAACACTGGGCTAGTAAGTTAATACACACTAGTCACATAGAGACCACTTCAGTTGGTCTTGGTATGTCCAGACTGATAATTACCACCATGACCAATACTTACCGTCCTATGCTGTTGCATTCAATAGATAATCAGTAGATGTTTAGTTCTGGCAGCCAGGGCTTCTCCTGGCTGATCCTCAACCTCTCAGTCTCAAAGATGGATTGAAAATGTAGAATAACTCTCATCATGTTTGGTGACAGCCTTTGAACCAGGAGAAGATATCTTCTAGTTCTTGCCACACCCTCATGTCGTTTCCCCCCACAAGAACCAAAGATTCCTTTTCTCCTCTGTACGTTCTACACGGCCGTCTGTAATAACGATTTTCAAACTGTACAGCAACAAGAGAGTCAAACAGAGCAGAAATTAACAAGTCCTTTGTCATGGCAGAAAACAATAGTTTAATAGCATAGTCTGTGGTATGCAGGTAAACTGAAATACAACATATATTGTTTTTCAAATTTGCAATAAACAACAGACTCAAAAAATGTTTCACACGTAATAATTTAACATTCTCATTGTCTTATTGTGAGGAGAAATTATCATTTTGATCAGAAATGATGAACAGTAATGAACAATGAGTACGTCTGTGTAAAATATTAAGCATATTTTTACATACATTTTGACTAGAAGCACATTTATCTTTCCTCTTTTCACAGGAATATCCACTAAGAAACTTTCTTTTATAATGTAAACGATATTTTCAAGTGTTAACAATCTTAACAGATACAGTACTGCGATGTGAGGATAGTTTCAAATGTGTTAAAACAACAACTTGCAGTTAAGAAAACAATGTACAATAAAATGTTGCATATGATTAGTTGATCAATTGCAAAACAAGTAGTGAAACCATATTTAATAAATGACTTGGGTTTTAATTCCAAAGCTGGAAATGCTGGGTGTATTTATGTTCATTGATATTCAACAAACAAGAATTAAGATTTATAATAAACAATAGATTGTGATGGTGTTTTACATGAGGGTTATCTGCGCTAGCCGTCCCTAATTTAGCAGTGTAAGACTAGAGGGAAGGCAGCTAGCTAGTCATCACCACTCACCGCCAACTCTTAGGCTACTATCTAACCAACAAAAAGTTGGATTGACCGTCACATTATAACGCCCCCACTGCTGAAAGGGCGAGCATGTTTGGTGTGACGGGGATTCGAAACCGCGACCCTCAGATTGCGAGTCGAGCGCCCTAACCCCCTGGCCATCCTAGGGCCATTTTACACAACATAAAATGAATATAAATGCAAAGGAAAGTACTTGCACAAGTGTGTAAGACAAAGAGTGAAAATAATCTTTATTTATTCTCAAAGGGCAAAACATTGCTGGGTTTCACACTTTTACTGGCAGGCTTTTAGACATCTGTACTAACTTTCTTTGGTTTCTGAAGCTGGAGAATTAAAGAATAACTATGTTTAATACAGGACGGTACCTCCGAGTGGCTCAGTGTTAAGTATAAAGGCTTATAAGACTAAAAATCGGGTTTCGATACCCGTGGTAGGCACAACACAGATAGCCCATTGTGTAACTTAGCGCTTAACAAAAAACATACAAATACACAGGATGAAAGCATTATGTCTATACTAAATTGTTAAGTCAAACAAAAATCCTGGTACAGTAAAATCCTTCTGTTCTAGCTCACTTTCTTCAGTTTATATTTCCATTAGATATAACCAAGGGAAGATTAGCTTCAGACTCATAGTATCTTGTACCAACATTTGTACTTTACCTTCGTTTGAATATTACCCACTTTCCACGGATATGACGTTAAACTACATCCAGCAGTAGGACAGTCAAATGTCAAGGTAACAGTGAGACGAGTACTTTTTTAGTTAGTGTAGTCTCTGGGCGCCTTTAGGCAAGGCATATCATCCATTAGCCTTCCTTACTAGGGTTACAGTTGAAGCCGGTGGGGGCTCAGGACGGTGGATCATCTCGTCTAGCAGATGCTTGGTGCAACTGGGACGACCATAGAGGAGACCTGCTCAAGTTAATTGAACAATGCAACCTGCATCAAGAAATGGCAACTTACTGAAGTATTTTGCCAAGCACAATCTTTGGTATTTCACGGATTAAGGAAAAACCACAACAGTGATAGAAATGGGAAGGACACCTAGCCCGGTAAGGAAAGTCATGTGAGACAGATTATTTCTGTCTGTCAGCATGCTACTATCCGTATCCAAAAGAGAGCAATCCAAATGACACGGTGTAATATGAGGATTCTACACCAAATTGGAAAACTGTTTAATCTTAAGTATGACATGAAGAGATTATTAATCAATATTTTAAGCCTGTGTGAAACACGTTGGAAAGATGCACAGAAGAGGAGTTGGGCTGATTTTGGACAAAAAAACTTCAACGTGTTTGCATGGATTTGGGGCAATTTCTGGTTGAGTGATGCTTTCAACATTGTAATAATACAAGTCTATGCACCAACAGTTGAAAATGAAGAAGAGGACATTGATCGTTTTTATGAAGGCCTTGTTAAAGCGAAATAGCAATGAAAACATCAAGAAGTGGTCATAGTAATGGAAGATGTAAATACGAAAGTTGTTTGTCGTCGAGTGGGTAATATTGTTGGACCACATAGACTTGGAGAGAAAAATGAAAGAAGAGAGAAATGGATTGATTGGTGTTATATAAATGATCAAGTCATTACGAACACATGATTTGAACACCACCCGAAAGGAAGGTATACATGGAAAAGTCCGGGAGATAATGTTAATAATCAAACTGATTACATCACAATCAATAGAACATTCAGGAATGCAGTATAAAAATCGAAATCTTACCCACGGGCTGACGGTGGGAGCGACCATGACCCTGTGGTATGCACCATCAAGAAAAGGTTGAGGGAGCTTAAAAAGCTAAACGCGACAAAGAAGCTATATTATACAATTCTTATGGAAAAAGATCTGATTAAAGACAAATATACAATTGCAGTCAAAAACCGTTTTCAAGAACTTGAAGATGAAGGGAAAATGTCAAAATAGGAAATTTTTAGAGAAGCACTGGTCGAAACAAGGAGGCTATTTATAACATAAGGATAAAGATGCTACATCAATGTATAGGAATATCAAAGACGCCACAGGTAAAGGAGGATGCACTATTAGTGAATGTATAAGAGCTAAGAATAGTGATGTACTTATGGAACAAGAACAAGTATTGAAAAGATGGACAGAGTATATTGAAGATTTATTCCATGACACTCGTGAAGAAAAGCCATCCATTAAGAAGAACATGGACGAATTAAAAATTCTTAAGTCAGAAGTACAGACAATTATTAACATAATGAAAACCAATAAAGCTAAAGGACCATATGAAATTGTAATAAAGAAGATAAGACGTTTGGAAGAATTTAGTATAGAAAAGTTAACAATTATTACCAACGAAATTTGTGAAAACGGTAAAATACCTGAGAATCTCAGTAAACTTATTTTTATTGCGCTACCCAAAAGACCCGAAGCCATTGAATGTGAACACAATCTAATCATTAAATTAATAAATCACGTGACAAAGACCTTATTAAAGGTATTGGTGATGAGAGCTAGAAGTAGAACAAGACGGGAGATTGCAAAAGTACAATGTGGTTTTATTGTAGATCATGGTATAAGAAATGATATCTTCACGGTATGAATGCTTTCGAAGAGGGCAATAGAAATGAAGAAGGACCTTTTTTTGTGTTTTCTTGATTATACCAAAGATTTTGATAGAGCCAAACATGTTGAATTAATGAAAATGCTGGAAGAACTGGACATTGAGGGTAAAGACTTGAGAATTTTAAGAATCCTCTACTGGGAACAATTTTCAACAGTGATAGAGAATGCATTAAGTGATTTCATCCAAATTAAGAGAGGTGTCAGGCAAGACTGTGTCTTTTCATCTGACTTATTTGACTTCTACAGTGAGAACATCCTGGGGGAGATTGAAGACGTACCAGGGCTGATCACTGACGAACAAAATTTCAACAATTTGCGTTATGCTGATGACACAGTTTTAATAGCTGATTCACAATAGAAGCTGCAAATAATTTAGATAAAGTTGTTACTGAAAGTGAGAATAAAGGCTTAAGTACTAACTGTAGAAGTACTAACAAAGAAGATCATTCCTGTATGCATTGCCAAAGTAGATAAAGAAAAGATAAGATAAATTCAACTACCTCAGAAGCTGGAGGATAACATCAGATGGTAAATGTGATAACGAAATAACACAGAGAATATGGATGACAAAATACACATTTCTGAAAACGAAAAATGTATTAACAAATAGTAAAATTTCTATGATGGTAAAGTTAGGAGTTTTGAATTGATATGGTATACTATTTCTCACGTATGTGTCAGAATGTTGGACAATGTCGCCAAGTATGGAAAAGAGTATTGAGGAAATTGAGTTGTGGCTCTTAAGGCGCATCTTGAAGGTATATTAGACAATATATTTTGTTAAGAGCAGGTTGCAGGACGAAGCTGCTGCCTGACATCAGAAAAAAACATTTGGAGTTTCTCGGACACGTTATAAGGAAAGATGAAATTGAAAGTTTAGTCCTATATAACTGAAAAGATTGAAGGAAGGAGAGACCGTGGAATACAGAGTTTGACTTATGAGAAAAGTCTCTCTAAATGTATCGACATTAGAGATGATTTGTGTCTCAAAAAGAAGAGATCTGTGGAAGACCATGGTCATCAACGTCCTTTTTGGGTATAAGAGACTTGAGCTCAAGATGTAGAACTGTCATATAAAGATTTTGTATAATCATTGGTTTGTCTGTTCTTTTTCGCCTGATCTGTTTGTTTGCAGATTTTACAAACAGCAGATCTGTCCTTTTGAGTTGTTTGATTTTTCGGTCTTACCACAAAATAGAAATACTGAAGTTCTAAATAATGAATATAACATGGTTATGGACAGTAGCATGTCTTTTGTGTAATCCTTTATACATTAGTGTGCTATGCTATCGCCTATTATGTTAAAATGTGTCATTTTTTAACTGATTTGTTGCAATTAATGAGAAATTTCTAGTTGTTGGAGGATCGGTAGTATCGTATTTCTGAGATCAAGTGAATACTAGTTTTAAATAAAATTTTACCAACTACGACAAAATAAATATTTATTGTTTAATTAAAAATGAACATCTATCCTTCAATCTAGCTCACTATTGGCTCAGCAGTAAGTCTGTAAGCTTATGGAGCTAAGAATCGGGTTTCGATACCGGTGTTAGGTAGAGAGCACAGATAACCAATTGCGTAGCTTTGTGTTTAACAACAGCCAAATTAAAAAACACCAAAACCTTTAATCTAGTATCAATTCCAATTTATAATCAATTTTAAAGCGAGGTGTGGCTTAAGTCCAAGCCTCATACAGTCTTATTATTTCAGTATTTCTTTTGTTGATACGTGTTTAGAATTTTTGCGTTTTCCTGTGAATAAAGGTCCACGAGTTAGTTTGTTTGTCTTTTCTTGTTTACAAGTGTCAGTTTCAGATACTCATTTAGTGGACGAGGTCCTTGAACTTTGAATGGTTGCAATCTGTTGTTAGTAAACATATGGGTAAAGAGATAACAAAATGTCAGTTTGGAAAATCATTTCGGAATGACAATCTTTGGGAAATTAATAAAATAATCAGGAACTCTGTACGCATATAGAAGTTAAGTACGATATATTAAAACGATTTTGGAGACTCACCACTTCGTTACTATCCGTGTTGCCGTGTCTGGTCAATCTCTATCTGATGACCCCAGATCTTAATTATGTTGCGTACTGTTGCTTGGAACAATTGGACGACTTTGTTTTGTTTTTTTTTAATTTCGCGCAAAGCTACACGAGGGCTATCTGCGCTAGCCGTCCCTAATTTAGCAGTGTAAGACTAGAGGGAAGGCAGCTAGTCATCACCACCCACCGCCAACTCTTGGGCTACTCTTTTACCAACGAATAGTGGGATTGACCGTCACATTATAACGCCCCCACGGCTGAAAGGGCGAGCATGTTTGGTGTGAGAGGGATTCGAACCCGCGACTCTCAGATTGCAAGTCGAGTGCCTTAACCACCTGGTCATGCCGGGCCCAGACGACTTTGTCACTGAATTTTGTGTTATGGATTCACACCTGTTACAAAACACCGAACTTCACTTTCCACGGCTGGGGTACGACTTGTTGAAGGTTTTTTTCTCTATGGTCCTCCTATCCGAAATTGATCCATATTTCTTTGTTTTCCAATGCCTTAAGTACAAGGGATATTCCCCATCTTGGAAATCCTGAATTCATCATCTGAACACGTATTTATGAAATGAGTGTATAAATATTTTGTGTCAGAAAGGGCTGTCGCATACCTTTCCCAAAAGTGGTCAGTTTTTGGTGGCATCACACAACCTCCGCGACGAATGCCAACATGTAGTTCTGACATATGCCGTTCCTTCGCGATTTTATATTGGCTGTGGATGACTCGTAACTTGCTGATTTTCATACTCAAAGCTGTTTTAATATAACGTTCTCAGCCCTCCGTACGTTTAACTATAAAGATATTTTTACTGTGTTTAAAACGACATTTCATCACTTATTTGCATGGTGTTTAACACTGCCCACTGAAAGTATTATGCAATGTATATATTTAACATTTAAAAACACATGGTGATGAATTAAAGTATCTATTTTTCCTTATGTGAATAATTTGAGCGTTTTGTTAAGAATATATGTATACATACATGAATATATAGATATCCCTCCGAGTACTTATTATTTAAGTAAAGTGAAACAGTACTGATTTCATGAAGAACCACATACAATAAAATTTTAGACAGTCATATTCATTTATTTTTTCAGCCATTGAGCATATGACAGTCATACACAATCGTAGAATAAACCACAGCGTCTGACATTAGAGGGATTACGATCTGGTAACTATAACAATGAAATGAATCAGGATACCTAGATTAAGATAATTGGCATGAGTTATAGTACCACCATCATTATATTACACACTCTTTGTGGAAACGAGTAAGAAAAAGTAAGCCCAGATGTGTAATGTTGTCACTATTTATCATTATTCATAGTATAATTTATCAAATAACATGATACACAATCTTCCCAGTACATTAAGAACGGGTATTGTGTAACTGATTGTTTAACTGATCTGTTAACTCAGCAACATAGATCAAGTTCACTTATTCATCGACCTGAAATTCGTTTTTTCAAATAAAATAACTCTTTACATGCTTATATCTTCGGCAAGAGTATTCTGTAAGTTGAAGGAGAAAACGTAAACTACGTTCAAAGGAAGACTGCTATTATATGCACATGCTCCTCGGTGGGTCAGCGGTAAGTTTATGGATTTTAAATGCTAAAACGTAGGGTTAGATTTTCCAAGATGGGCAGAGCGTGGATAACCCATGTGTAGCTAGATACTACATAGATGGTTGAAGCAATATGTGTGTATGTGTACAGGAGCAAAGTTGGAAGTGGATCAAGCTTGTCGGAAGTGCGGCTGCCTTTGAAAGGACTTCTGGGGGCATGCTCCTCTGAAAAAATCTGTGTAATTAGAGTGGCAATTTGGACCTGTTTTGATGAAAAGGAAGCTAAGATATTATGAAGATTTGGGGTGGCGGGTACAGAAGCGATATTAACGTCAAAATATATAGTTTAATGACAAACTTACATGTCTTTCTATTTTTAAACTCTAATATTTTTATGTGTCTGTTAGGTATTAACTCTTTATCTCCAGCTATGAAATTCATTACCATATTTATATCTATTTATGGGAAGCCAATATTAAAAAAACTCGATCAATCATACTTGGCGAAATCACACAGCTATATAAAATTATGAAGGGAGTGGCACAGTGAGGCTATAACCTTCTACTGGTGGTAGCTCGCTCCTCTTTGTTCTATGGCATATGTGCCAATTAAAGCGCTAATAAAAATATGACATATTGATCTTGACTGCATGAGGTAAAAGATTGATTTAATTTACTAGAGATTGATTATTCGTCTCTATTGTAATCTTAATTTAACGAAAACAAAAACACGCATAATACTTGACTACTTTTCATTGCAAAGCGACTATGTCTTTTTGAGGATAAGTCTGTGATAATTACAGTCGTCAACTGTAAAAAGGGGAACATTACTGTGCATAAAATCTACACAGGTCTAATTACATATTCTTTACCAATAAGTAACAAAGCCGTTTATCATTAGAAATATGATTCCACCCCTAGGAAAATCATCAAGGTAAAATATTAATATACATCGAAAAATGCCTACAAAAACTAATGCGTTGAGAAACATCTACATAATTTAATAAATTACCCTAATTAATTAGTTAATTCGAATTATTTAGAGATATTTAAGATCCTCGGAATAACTTACATTTTACTCGTCTAACGCCATCTATATAGCATATATGAAGTATCTAATACAAGAATTTTAAAAAGGTTGAACTTTTTACTGCGTTATGATTTGGATTATTTCACAGTTCATATGTTTACGTTGTACTTAGGATAATATTTATCCAATTATTAAAAATCTCAACAGATGGCGTAAGCAATTGTGTAAAAAAATAATAGGAAGGTGGAATGGTTTCGAGTTCTCCAAAGTCCAAACCACCTCAAGCATTTTGTGAAATTACTCTATAAATCATTACTGAATATTAGGACTAATATAAATAAACTGCTACTATAACGTTTTTTGGAATCATTATAGGATTCTGTGAGATAAAAAAAACATAACATGGCTAAAAATACTATAAATACTTTAATATTATTTTTTTTTGTTTGCTCCGAAAATGCGAGACATGTCAGATAGTTTCAGCTTTAGAGCACAAAGATCCTTTAAACTAATACACACAACATCATATATATAAATATGACTACAACAGATGTGACTACTGAATGCAGTTATATTATCTTTCACAGCAGGATCTCTGGGATACTGGTTGAAATTTCCACTGGCATTATTTCCTTTTCTTATTGTTCAAACACACAAAAATTCATAAATAATTCGTAACCGTATTATTTATCTTATCTGAGTTTTTTGCCATTGTTATAATACAACCGTTATCAAAGAGACCCTGGTGCAGTCAACATTTATTCACATATATTTTTGTGACCTATGTTTACAGATAGCTCGAGCTAAGTCCAAGTCCTCTGAAAATTAAAAAATATGAGATAACAATTAAAAGCGGGATAGAGAATGAAATACAATATTGTCAATAATTCATAGCCATACCCCATGAATATACTTTATGAATAGCAAATTATCTTTGGTTTCAATGCATGAAAATTAATAGTAACATAGAAAAAAAAAGGATTTCTGACACAACATGAACAAACTACACGCGATAATTTAAAGATCTGATAAACGTGATCCTTTTTATACTACAAGGATCGATAACATCAAACTTCATCACAAACTCGGAAAACGTTAGACTGGGAACACTTCAGAAAATACTCGTTTATAAAGAGGGCATCGTGGTCTGTTGCTCACTAAGTGTATACCATACAGAGTCGTTATGCATATAAGCACAGGGAATCTAGTTTCAGTTTCTACACTATTCCCGTATTTCGGATTAATTTCTATTTCTATTTTATTTTATTAAAGTCTTTGGATGTAGATGACTTAGTCGAAGACGAGGTAGAACGCCCTACACGAAATATCCTTGATAAGAACCTCCTGATATTCTAATACTACCATGACTCTCCGTCTATTTTTTGTTTGTTTGTCATTTCTAATGTTGGTGTCTGATACAATAACAATACAGAGAGAATCACCAACGGTGTCATCACGAGAGCACAGTATACAGTCTGATGCGTTTTGGTTTAATTAATTAGCACCTCTCACTCTTAAAGGTGTTTGGACTGATAGGGCCACCAAGGCCGCTGGATGATGGTGGTCGTGCACTGTGAGCGTAATAGTAGGACGGGTCTAAAAAACAAAAACAAAAAAGTTAGCGTCAATACAATGTTGCATCCTAAAATCTGAAACAAAAACATCGTAAAATAAAACAAATATTAAATTACTATACATTTAAAGTATAAAGTAACTTAGTGGCAGATTCAGATGGGGTTTGAAAGGGGGAAGGAGAATGCAATATTGTCAAAACGTAAAATAAATAATTCGGTCCAACATGATATAATGTATTCAAAGGTCCCCACGTGAGTGTTCGATCAGTACACTCACTACGATTGCTTCAGAATGACTAAACTGTCCAATCTGAAACTCTGTAACAAAAGATTGTGATCTATGCTTGTTTGAAACTTCAGCCTCCTTAAGTAAAGGCATGCATAATGGAGTATTATCGAAAATAAGAGGCATGCATAATGGAGTAATATCAAAAATATTTGAATTTTTTCAAATGCTTTATTCTATTTAAGTGTTCATAATCTGTTTTACTGTGAAATATCTTGGAAATTCACCTTCTAATTCACCAATGAAACCCCTTCATAATGTTTAGATGCTCTTTTACTAAACCAACATAAATCAAATACAATTACTGTTAATCTTTGTTTAATTCATGAGTGTAGTCTAAGTGTAAGCATGCAAATCGCTACGAGGAAAAAACATATTTAATAAATTGTGTTCCTTTGTAAACTATATGATCTAAATGACATCACCAGGTTATTTGAAAAAATATAAAAACCCCTATCCAAAATCTTTGATCCGCCACTGATAACAACAACTTACGACGAATGTGAAATGTTATTGTTAAAGAAAACACCTAAAAACATACGTTAATAAGAAGATGAACAGTCACCTATTTTGTTTTCGAATCATCTAATGATACGTTAAAAAGCATGGATAAAATAAATCAGACGTAAATAGAAAACTAGGTGAAAACTGTGGTTTTTCATGTTAATATTTGGTTGAAAGATGCATAATACGACAGAACCTCATTCATAAAATAGAATTGCATTGGAAATCTTTCCTCCTGAAAAAACATAACAGGTAGAGCAGTGATATCGAAGCTGTATAAGAAAAATTAATATTTGAATGTAAAAACATAACAGGTAGAGCAGTGATATAGAAGCTGTATAAGAAAAATTAATATTTGAATGGGAAAAATAACAGGTAGAGCAGTGATATAGAAGCTGTATAAGAAAAATTAATATTTGAATGTAAAAACATAACAGGTAGAGCAGTGATATCAAAGCTGTATAAGAAAAATTAATATTTGAATGTAAAAACATACTTATAATTCCACTTGGCCCGTAGCCATAGGCTCCATATGCAGCGGCAGGTGGATATTGGGTGTATGGTGACGAGTAACTGTACTCGGCACTAGTAGGTCCAGGAACACTTGCACCTGGAACTCCGCCACCAGGCACTGATTATGGGAAAAAAATTTCACTGAGTCAATAAAATATATTCTATTTAAGATTTTTTTTTCTGATTCATCGGTCTTAAATATGTCTTAAACTAATTACCAATCGACAGAAACTTACATTTTAATTTATCTATATTTTTACTTACCTTGTTATGACAGAGATGATCAATTTATATATATATATCTTCATAACTATAAGCCTGGTTGAAAATTCCCTAACCTAAATACAACAGTCTGTCAAGATTATGATGAAACAGTCTATTATAAATGATTCTGTTATTGTTTAAGGACGCTTTGATTCCGAAGGAGTTAAACTGATACTTTATTGCTACGAATATATTTGCAACAACTAGTTTTTGACGGTTATTTCATACAAATTGTAATACTTTTCGTTATGCTAGTCCTTTTATAAAGATTTTAATTACCACGTAGCACGTGACGTAAAAGAAATGTTGTTTTGTGTAGTAGCATGTCCAAAGGTGCACAGTTTATATAGAAGATAGTTACAACTGGTGCACTGAATTCTGAAGGGAAATTGTGAGTTTATACCACGATTATTACAATCTATGAAAATTTATGATCCAAGTCTCTTTATACAACTAGAAAATTAAATTTAGCTCCAAGATAGATTTAACTAAATCGTGAAGTATTTGATGAAACAGAAACTCACTGGGTTTGTCTGGAAAATGGGGTTATTGTTTTTTTTAAGCGGTAGGTGAACTTGAGCAAATGTTCATCACAAAGCTTAAAAAACACGTTTAATTAGCAAGAAACAACATTTTCAGATATTGCTGTCGCTCATAACATGTTCTATATATATGTATACTAAAACATAAAAATGTGGTTTTCCTTTCCATTTTTTTTTAAAATTTTATTTATTGAATTCGTAAACTTTTGGTCACACATATTCTTTGGTCAAAATTTCAACAATCAACTTCAGGAATTTCTACCTAAAACTGTGGACCAGAGTTTACGAATTGACTATAAAAACAACGTAAACTGGAAAACCTCTTTATTATGCCTTCATACAAAAACAAAATATTTTATTTGAATGCGAGAGGGCAGCGCGATAGCGATGTCACTTGCCTGGGTATTGACCGAAACTGTTGATGGAACCATATGAATCACTTTGACCACCAGTAAATAACGTGTTTTGAACTGGTTGCAATACGGTGAGAGACGGCGAGGTAGGGGTGTCCGCTTTCGCTGGAGATGGACTGTTATCAATATCGCTATCGCCTAGTGGAAAAACATGCGAGGGTATGACGTCACAACACGTCATCACTACATCACATGCAAACAGAAACAATTATTTTGATGAAAGTTGCAATAAAAGTAATAACATTACACATGCTATCTGTTTGTAGGTTTTAAATTAACAAAGGTAAAAAATATAAAGAGCCTATTTTCGTGCATAATATTAATAGAAAAACGTACAGATGTTACTCAAAGAAGGAGATAGAAAAGTTACAAAAATATGCCAGACACATTAGTAGCGCAATCATCAACTCGTTATACTTATTCACCAGTCAACTTATATAACTAATGAAAACTAATTAGTCTTCGTTGTAAAGTTTTTATGAAATATGATATGCATTCATTTACAAGCAAGTTTTGGAGATAAGTAGAATACTAGATTATTCTAAATGAATGGCAATTATCACACAGTTAGCTCTAAGTTCGCAGTGCAAGTAATACTGAAGAAAATTAATTAAAGATTAATCCGTTTGGAGTACAAATGATGATAAATGATTTAAACCAGGCACTTAACATGCACATGCAAATGACAAAAACATTTTTATTATAATAAAAGCTTGTATATTTGACAACTCCACATTTACTGTCTTTTGTTTTAACTTACGCATAATTAAGTGAATAAATAATAATTCATAGCATGGAGTTTGTTTTTTAAAGTTTCTTTCTTATAAAGTTGTGCAGATTTCAATAGAGAAAGAATAAATAGTGATATGAAATAAAAAAAAGGTTTTTCTTCGCTATATAAATCAGTGTCTTGAATCTATTAGGGTTTAAACGTACAAACTAATCAGATAGAATGTTATCTCACACTGTATGCTACCCCATTATTAGTACATAATTGTGTAATTAGTGAAAGCGCCAATAACCAGGTTGTCCTGATCGGGGTTAGAACACCTTTAGACCCAGGCTTTGACACCGCCACCGTACATTTCTCCCCAGATGTATCAGAAGTAAGAAAAGAAATACAGAATTGGAAAAAGTTATATATATATTTATAGAATTGATTAAAAAATGATAAGACTTAAATTATTTATATTAGATTTTTTTCAAAGTGTTAACTTGTATCTCAACAAATTATACAATATTAGATATCGAGTTTACAATAAAAAATAACCCATCTTATAATAAATATTTAAGTACTTACTGAAGAAAATTATTGTTTCTTAGTTTACTTATCCTGAATATCTGGAATAATCCATTAATTACACAACTTCGAATTAATCTTAATTATTTGTAGTAATTATTGCTTAACCGATTTCTCATTGTGCTTGATTAATAGCAGATTTTAAACTTCGAAAGAGGGAGTTCTCCTTTTTTTCTTAATGTATCAAGCGTCAAAAACGTCAAGTAGAATTTTCCAACTAATGTAAAAATCCTTTCAATTAATCATCTGTCAGGCTATATATTCGCTGATTAATTTCATCAGAGTTTCATTTTAAAATGTCCTCTGTACACACCTGCTTGGAAAGGGAGGGCTGTGGTATTAGAGTCTAAGAGGTTTCTTGAAGGACCCATAATGGGTTTCACTTCCTGCATGCTGATGGGAGTCAAAGGGGTCAGAGATCCGCTTCCTGTGGGGACAAAAAGGCGAAATCATCGCTGGACCTTGACTTGAACGATTAAAGAAACAACAACTAGATCTTATTCAATGTATTACCAGAGTCTGAAACTGTATGCCATGAACTGCTGGTATCCCTAGTCTTCATGGGTAATGAGACAGTTAAACATTAAGTTAGAAGTAGGAGACAACGAGTATCAGCGTTTTAAAAAGTAACAATATAGTTGTATTTTAGTAATTATAAAGTTCGGGTCCGGGAGTTTTCAAAACCAGAGCCATTATAGGCAAGAGGAAAATTAGGAACTTAGTGTAAGTGGGTTTACAAAGTTGAGAGTTGCTATAGGTAGCAAAGTTCGGATATTATGCTTGAGGTCTGGAATTACAATTAGAAACACTGTAAATAGGCGATAACAGAATTCGATGCTAAGTTTCGGGTTTACAAGGGCTAGTTTTGCTAAATATGACGGCAGACAACATGTTGAAATTCTAAAACTACAAAGATAATGAGAAAATCAAGCTATATTTATTGTAGACGTTCTGATAAAATGAAGGAAACGAAACAACTTTATTTTTTATAATAAAAAAAGGAAAAAATGTTTTGTGGAAATGAGTTACTATCGAAGATTTATCAACATACAATATATACTGCCACTCAACTTTTTCACAGAAAAAATTATAGCCCCTTTAGAACACATCAGAGGTAGCTGAGTTTGTATTGGAGTTAGGATTAGAATACAGATCATAGCAAAGTTGGATAGTAAATCTGGATCCAGGATTAAATGGATTAAAGTCACTTGGAGAACTTTCATATCAATAATTTAAAAAAATATAGTCTGTAAAAACAATTTAAAGGTTGAAGCAAAAAAAAATTGTAGGCCTAAAATAGAAATATTAAGATTGAACTGATTTGAATTAGAGCTCAGTATTTCGATGCTAGTAAGTCTGCTGACTGAATACGGCTTTTGATTAACGCCGACACAAAAGCAATATTTACAGATATGAATGATTATGGTTTATACAGAAATTTACGACTGGTTGAAATGACTAAAAAAATAAAGCAGAAAATAAGTAAAATTCACAATGGAATATACAAAGAAGGTAGAAGGAATACCATCCTAAAACTCTAGCAGAAAAAAAACAAGAAAGAGTTTATTAATGATGACGAGAAACCCACTTGAAGTAAAAATGTATAGCAGAGACGGCTGGTATGGATATTAAAAACTTTGATTAAAATAAAGTACAAGTTCTTGTACTTCATTTTAATTAAAGTTTTTAATATCCATACCAGCCGTCTCTGCTATACATTTTTACTTCAAGTGGGTTTCTCGTCATCATTAATAAACTCTTTCTTGTATTTTTTTCTGCTAGAG